TATGATTCTTGGCCATACCATTATTGACTCCATTTCCATGTGGACTCCATAAGCAGCTGTGCCTGTCTTAGGTTGTCCCCCAGGGGATCTTACCTGTCATTGACCAGCACTCAAAATAGGAGACCACAGGAGTACTTGCTCAGATGGGGGTAGGAATGAGGAACAATGGTAATCAGGATGGCATGACTGCACACAGGCTGTGGGCCGTTTGAGTGGCTGACCAGAACTAGTGGGTATAAAACAGTAATGGATGTGGCTATGGGCAGTTTCTCAGGGTAGCATGATAGGGCAGGTGCATCCACTAACAAGGCGGACTCTCAGTCTTGTTCAGCTGGTTCTGGTTGGCTGTCAGTTGCAGGCTTGATGTTTTTGGCTGGTACCCAAATGGGCTGTCCTGCATTCTCTGGAAAGACACAAGCATATTGGAACCAGTCCCATGTCTTAGAACCTTGACCACAAGAGGTTTTTCTTGTAGTGATTTGCAGTGTCTTTTTTTTTCCACAGGCAGAGTGGATAGTGAGAGAGAGAGACAGAGAGAAAGGTCTTCCTTTGCTGTTGGTTCACCCTCCAATGGCCGCCATGGCTGGCACGCTGCGGCTGTCGCACTGCACTGATCTGAAAGCAGGAGCCAGGTGCTGGTCTCCCATGGGGTGCAGGGCCCAAGCACTTGGGCCATCCTCCACTGCCTTCCCGGGCCACAGCAGAGAGCTGGCCTGGAAGAGGGGCAACCAGGAAAGAATCTGGAGCCCCGACTCGGACTAGAACCCGGTGTGCCAGCACCGCTAGGTGGAGGATTAGCCTATTGAGCTGCGGCACCAGCCTGCAGTGTCTTGGTAGGCATCCGAACTGGTGCTTTTCTTCTCCTTTGCTCCTCTGATCAAGTCAGCACACACCTTCTCCAGGGACTTGACATTGCGGCTGGTCAGGGTGATCCTAATTTGGTGAATGGCCACCTCTGGTTCCACAGGCGTCTTCCATGCACGCTGTTTTTCACCATTAGCAGGGTGCTGGAACAGAAGTGGAGCAGTCGGATCTCAAACCAGCACCCATATCGGATGCTGTGCTTCAGGCCAGGGTGTTAACCCACTGCGCCATAGCGCTGGCCCCGAACACTCCTTCTACCAATTTTGTCCTCCTGGACCTATCAGATGTTAGCAGAATGCTAGTTCATGAGCCTGCTGTGTGTTCTTCCTCTGTTCTCACTCTGTCTGCTTCTTCCCTTCTTCTTTTAATTTATGGGTGGTGGGCTGGAGAAATTATCTTTATTTCACCCATGATCAAATATTTCACCCACGATGATTATATTTCATAGGTATTAGGGTTGTTTTAAACCAGTCACTTTTGGCTAGGGAAGAGGTAGACTAATACCCAGTTTCCAGAATAATGAGGCTGAAGGAATCACAGAGGGTTATAAAGACTTCCACGGAGAATGGCAAAATGGAACTTCTCAGCCACATACTTGGCAATACAGCCAAAGGTGCAAACTATTGTGTGGGGAAAAAAGAGAAACACAGAAAGCCCAAATCTCCATCTGGGAACAGGAGTGGGGAACATCTGACCCATGGGCCACATAAAGCAAGCAGAATCACTTGGTCTAGCCCTGCCAAGGCAGCTGTAGGCAGAACTTGAAATTCACAAATCTGTAGCAGCCTGAGTTTAAGTTGATCATATTGTATGGCCCACAAATGATGCTATCAATATCCAAATAGGCCTTGGCAGAAAAACGTTTCCCACTCCTGGTACAGAAACAAGAGTCACAATCTTTTACTTTGCAACTATCTCCAAGCAGATCCATTTCCACATCTGATATTACATCATCTCTGTGGGCATCTTTTGCTTTCTACGTATTCAAACACTGCCTTCACCTTCTCATCCAGCTCCTTGTTTCAACTAGACTTCCACACCCTTTGAAGCTTCTGCAAGTTGCAGCACTTCGAATCAATGCATTACCACTTCATTTTAAATGTACTTGTGAATGGAACTCTGGTTTGTCTGCATAGTTCCCTGCCCAGTTCTACTTCAAGAGCCTAAAAATTGGGGATGAGACAGGATCACTGAACTTCTGTTGAATAATTTCTTACATTCCTACCTTGTACCGAGCATACAAATAAATACTTAATAGATAAAAAGAAACAAAATAGCTCATAGATTTTGAAAGCTAGTAGCTGAGTTTTATAAACTTGTTTGCTGATTGCATAAAACATTATATTTCCCTTTTCATGTATGATGCTAGGAAGCATTGCTAAATACAAGTGGGTAAAAAGGCTGGCTTAGTAGGCATTTTCTTAACAAGAAATAGACGTCTATTACCTGGCTCCATATAATAAAATGAGATGACTGACTAGACAATGATTCTCTGGCTTAAGCATATCTCAAACTAAGTTCTGAAGAACTCAGATTAAATGACAGTCAGGTTATTCATTAGTCCTAAATCATTTTTATAGAACATTTTTGAAAAACACCAAGAAAGTATGGAATGCGAGACTCTCTACATTTTAGGAGAAATCATTCCCTATTTATTTTTTAATATATATATATATATTGGTGTATATTTTTGTTTATTTTTACTTTGCAATCTTTTGTATATATATATATGTATATATATATATATATATACACACACACTTATATATATATATATACACACACATTGGATAGGCAGAATTAGACAGTGAGGGAGAGAGACAGAGAAAGGTCTTCCTTTTTCCCTTGGTTCACCCCCCAAGTGGCCGCTATGGCTAGCATGTTGTGGGTGGCGTACTGTGCCAATCTGAAGCCAGGAGCCAGGTGCTCCTCCTGGTCTCCCATGCGGGTGCAGGGCCCAAGGATCTGGGCCATCCTCTGCTGCACTCCTGGGCCACAGCAGAGAGCTGGACTGTAGGAGGGGCAACTGAGACAAAATCTGGCGCCCCAACAGAACCTGGGGTGCCAGCACCTCAGGCGGAGGATTAGCCTAGTGAGCCATGGCACCAGCCAACTATTTCTAAACCACAATCTTTACTGCCTATATCTTCCCATTCATTATTTCCTGATACCGTCAACATTCATTTGACTAAATATTAAAACATACTTTGAAAGTTTCAGCAAAAAAAGAACTTTGCTGACATAATATATTTTTTTAACTTTTATTTAATGAATATAAATTTCCAAAGTACAGTTTATGGATTACAATGGCTTCCCCCCCATAATGTCCCTCCCACCTGCTACCCTCCCCTTTCCCACTCCCTCTCCCCTTCCATTCACATCAAGATTCATTTTCAATTCTCTTTATATACAGAAGATCAGTTTAGCATACATTAAGTAAAGATTTCAACAGTTTGCTCCCACACAGAAACATAAAGTGAAAAATACTGTTTGAGTACTAATTATAGCATTAAATCTCAATGTACAGCACACTAAGGACAAAGATCCTACATGAGGAGTAAGTGTACAGTGACTCCTGTTGTTGACTTAACAAATTGACACTCTTGTTTATGGCATTAGTAATCACCCTAGGCTCTTGTCATGAGTTGCCAAGGCTATGGAAGCCCCCTGAGTTCACCGACTCTGATCATTTTTAGACAAGGCCATGGTCAAAGTGGAAGTCCTCTCCTCCCTTCAGAGGAAGGTACCTCCTTCTTTGATGACCCATTCTTTCCACTGGGATCTCACTCGCAGAGATCTTTCATTTAGGTTTTTTTTTTTTTTTTTTTTTTTTTTTTTTGGACAGAGTGTCTTGGCTTTCCATGCCTGAAATACTCTCATGGGCTTTTCAGCCAGATCCACATGCCTTAAGGGCTGATTCTGAGGCCAGAGTGCTGTTTAGGACATCTGCCATTCTATGGGTCTGCTGTGTATCTCACTTCCCATGTTGGATCGTTCTCTCCCTTTTTTATTCTATCAGCTAGTATTTGCAGACACTAGTCTTGTTTCTGTGATCCTTTTGGTTCTTAGTCCTATCATTATGATCCATTGTGAACAGAAATTGATCACTGGGACTAGTGAGATGGCATTGGTACATGCCACCTTGATGGGATTGAATTGGAATCCCCTGGTATGTTTCTAACTCTACCGTTTGAGATAAGTCAGCTTGAGCATGTCCCGAATTGCACATCTCTTCCCTCTCTTATTCCCACTCTTATATTTAACAGTGATCACTTTTCAGTTAAGTTTCAGCACTTAAGAAGAATTGTGTATTGATTACAGTATTCAACCAAAAGTATTAAGTAGAACAAACAAACAAAAAATACTAAGAGGGATAACATATTAAATTGCTCATCAACAGTCAGGGTGAGGGCTGATCAAGTCACCATTTCTCATAGTGTTCATTTCATTTTAACAGGTTTCCTTTTTGGTGCTCAGTTTGTTGTCACCTATCAGGGAGAACAAGTGGTATTTGTCCCTTTGGTATTGGCTTATTTCACTCAGCATAATGTTTTCCAAATTCCTAACAGGGATCACTTTTCAGTTAAAATTTAAACACCTAAGAACAATTGTTTGTTAATTACAGAGTTCAACCAATGGTACTAGAACAAAAAAAAAATACTAAAATGGATAAAGTATTACATTGTACATCAGCCGTCAGGACAAGAGCTGATCAAGTCACTGTTTCTCATAGTGTCCATTTCACTTCAACAAGTTTAACATAATATATTTTTAAAATGTGGCATGTTGTTGAGGTGCAACAGCTGCATATGGGACTTCTGTTTATTGTAGGGCTTCTACAAATATTACTCTCATAGATACATGCAATGACAGGAGAGAAGACATTCAAATAAAATGAGCTATGGTGTGCAGAATGGAAGTTATTAAAGGCACATTCACTTGTGCAGGACATACAAGTGAAGCTTTAGAAAGCAGCATATTCACATCTAAGAGACTAGAAAAACAACAACTTGCCTAAGAACAAAACTAAAAGCAATAAGCAGATTCAAAATTATTAGTGATTAAGAGTAAGAAGAGCAAACAAAACATCAAATAGCAAATGACAGGAGAGGAGGGTGAGAGCATTTGTTACTCACAGGAATTCTTCTCCAGGGAGTCTGGGTGTATTTGTCAGCGTAAGTGCAAAAAATCTTTAGATTTTTGGTGGCAGTTACACCGAGTTGCCTGAACAAAAACACACATTTTTACATTGGTTTCATTCTGCATACACACACAAAGTCATTAGGGGCTCTCTTAGGGGGTAAAAAAAAAAAAACAAACCAAGAAAAAAGTTACACATTACAAAATGGTTCTTAACTTTTATAGCAAATATCAGTCTTTACTCAGTAGTCTCTCATCTTATTCAGGGACTGGATTTGAGTCAACCAGTGAGAGCAGAATTTCAAACAGTCCAACTACCCTCGACAATCTCTTAAATTGTTTAAAAGCATATTATATAAAATTCACACAGTGTGTACTTATGTGCTAAAAATATATACAGTATTATGTGTATATATATATATATATAGTGATACACAGTATATAAAGAATACAAATGCAAATTTTATAGTTTTCTAAATGATTATACTGCTATGTAGTCATTATTGTACACTCTCCTTGAATGCATTTTTGATGGGAATCTACTTGCTACTAAATACCACCAATCCATAAGTCAGACTACCTATTCATATGTGCAATGTTGCCAAGTCTCTTTAATGATGTGTTCTCTTGGCCAGCGCTGCGGCTCAATAGGTTAATCCTCAGCCTGTGGTGCTGGCACACTGGGTTCTAGTCCCAGTCGGGGTGCTGGTTCTGTCCCAGTTGCTCCTCTTCCTGTCCAGCTCTCTGCTGTAGCCCGGGAAGGCCCTGCACCTGCATGGGAGACCAGGATAAGCACCTGGCTCCTCGCTTTGGATCAGCGCAGCACACCGGCTGCAGCGGCCATTGAGGGATGAACCAACGGAAAAGGAAGACCTTTCTCTCTGTCTATCTCACTGTCCAGTCTGCCTGTCAAAAAAAATGATGTGTTCTCTTTACTGGACAATAATTTTTTGAAGCATCTCTACCCTTTGACAAGACCACAAGACCGTCTGTCCCTCTCAATTCTCAAATGAATTCTCTATATGTGATGCCTCTCAAAGTATACTCAGTTATACAACACACAGTGTACATACTGTGTAAACTTTGGTGCTTTCAAATCATCATCAAATACAATGAAAAGATGGAAAATGAGAATTCACTGTTATGTAAAGCTGAAATGTAACCAAATTATTTGTTAAGCAACCCCATTGAAGGTAAATATACTTTCTCATAGAAAAACCTAAGAAATCCTTGATTACTACATCAAGTTGAAATTACACATTCGTATTTTAAAAATATTTACCAATATTAAAAATTTTCATAATTGTACTCATATTATTCCAATCTCCTATGGAAAATAAAATCCAATTATAAACAAAAATCTCTACATTACACAGTTTCCATCTTAAGCTGAAACCAAACTCACTACTACAAATGCAAGTCAACTAAGTCTCTTGGAATTCATTGTATTAGGACTTAATTTGTAACATATAGGGGAGGTATGTAAAGAGGAGAAGAAGTATAAAACACGGATCAGAATGCAGGTTCATGACTTATTGCATCCTGATTATGACAATTCCAGAGATAATATCCTTTTTGCTAACATGTGGAGAGTAATATTTGAGTTATACTAGACATTTGAATCTTCCATAATTGGAAAAACCTAGTTTTTAGTAACACTTCAATAGATGTAAACCAACTGCCCAAATCACTCCTTCTCCACCTGCTTTCTGTAATAGCTGACAGATTGTATTCACACGATATTCTTTGAGGAAGTACATTTTTCCTCTTGTTCCAAGGAAATAGATCTTGATTACTCTGAACCAATGTATGCTTAGGAAGGGATAAGGAACTCAAATGTAGCTAATAAAACAGGAGGAAAGTCTGAGGGATTTCTTAGAAATAGCATGTCCATTTTGAACACAAGTATTAAACAGATCTACTAGGGAAAATGGGTTCTGCACCCACCTTTGGGTATTACCCTGTGAGAATATGACACCTACAGCTAAAAAGACTTTCTACAAAGGAAGAGAAAGCCACAAGGATTCTAGAAAAGCCAATCTAGAACTTCAACCATTAACCAAATGACCAATAAGTAACCATGGAAATGGATGGGACCTATACACTTTCTTGTTATTTTAGTTTACAAATGTTCTTGTATCTTAAGTCACTTTTAGTTAGGGATTTAAAACATTCTAAGACATGCATTGATTTATGCTGGGTCATTTGGAACAAGCCATTAAATAAGAGTTAGTAATTATCCCACACCCCTGGGCCAGGCATTAGGCCATGGTTCATTTAACTCCCACAACCCTCTAGCATCAGTATTTTTATTATTTCCATTTACAGGAAAGGCTCAAGAGAGACTATATACCTTCCTTAAGAGAACACAGCTATGTTTCAAAAGCAAGATTAGAACCAAAGTCTAGCATGGGTTTTCAAAGATACTTCTAGCCTATTTAACCTGAGTTTCACTTTCTATGACTCCATAATTAAAATTATACACTAGTAATTTCACAAAATTATGCTGGTTTCAATGTACAAATACATCTAAATTATTATTTAATTAGTGTTCTGAGGAGAAAATAACAAGAATCCTTAGCATTTTGGAATAAGATTTGAATAGTCAAACCTCTCTACCTTTCAGTTAAATTCTCAGAGCATTGTAATATAATTTTATATCAGCTTGCATCACATAAACATGAATTCAACACTTTATACTGTCATTTTATTTTTCCAAAAGTTTGCATGCAAACATAGGTTACAGTTGAATGTATACCTTTCCCACCAAGACTACTCAATGGGCCATCAAAGAAGGAGGTACCTTTCTCTGAAGAGAGGAAAGAACTTCCATATTGATTATGGCCTTGTCTAAATAAGGTCGGAGTTTGTGAACTCAAGAGGCTTCCATAGCTTTGGAAGCTCATGACAAGAGCTTCGGGTGATTACAGACATTGTAAATAAGAGTGTCAATTGTTAAATCAACAACGGGAGTCACTGTACATTTGCTCCCCATGTAGGATCTCTGTCCTTAATGTGTTGTACTAAACAAATTAATGGTAAAATTACTAGTCAAACAGTACTTTATACTTTGTGTATCTGTGTGGGTGCAAACTGTTGAAATGTTTACTTAGTATGTACCAAGTTGATCTTGATGAAGAATGGGGTGGGAGAGGGAGAGGGAGTGGGAAATAGGATGGTTGCGGGTGGGAGGGAGGTTATGGGGGGAAAAATTCAAAGGTTGTACTTTTGAAATTTATATTTATTAAATAAAAGTTTAAAAAAAGAATGTATACCTTATAAATGACAAGAAAGTATAGAAGTATAGAACTGGAAGGAGAAAACTTTTAAATCATCAAGAAAACCTTTGCATTCTGGATAAAGCACTAAAGAGGTAACAGAATTTGCCAAAGTCATTAAAAAATTAATATTAGAGATAAGAAATGTCATCTGACTCCTATTAATGGCTTTTCTTGTGCCTTTTCCCCCATTTACAAAATGTAACCTAAAGATGTAAAGAAAGAAATTTTAAATAGAATGGCAATTTTATTTTTGATCATGTGAAAATGCTATTACATTTCGGCCAACGCCGTGGCTCACTAGGCTAATCCTCCACCTTGTGGCGCCGGCACACCGGGTTCTAGTCCCAGTCGGGGTGCCGGATTCTGTCCCGGTTGCCCCTCTTCCAGGCCAGCTCCCTGCTGTGGCCAGGGAGTGCAGTGGAGGATGGCCCAAGTGCTTGGGCCCTGCACCCCAAGGGAGACCAGGATAAGTACCTGGCTCCTGCCATCGGATCAGCGCAGTGCACCGGCTGCAGTGCTGGCTACGGCAGCCATTGGAGGGTGAACCAACGGCGAAGGTAAACCTTTCTCTCTGTCTCTCTCTCTCTCACTGTCCACTCTGCCTGTCAAAAAATAAAAAAAAAAATGCTATTACAAATCTCTACTTTCAATGGTTTATAACTTTTAAATTCTTCTGATTTGAACAAGTGATTTTCTAGAGTTTCAGAGGTAAACATTATACCTTTATAATCTTCCTGAATGACTTCCAATGCCCTACTGCAAAAAGGACATGTTTCTCCTTAAAACTCATTTAATCAGATGTCTGCTTCAGCACGTCACTGCTGTTAATGACTAGCAGTAAATCCTCTCCAGCCCTGTAAATCTATGGAGACAAACTGTACCAACATTAGTCTCTAGAATCAAGAACAGGAACTGCCAAGTTTCACAAAGTTTGCTGTGCATGTGAGGCCACAATTCCCCTTCAGTTTATTTAAATGAGCTCATTTTTCTGTTTTCTCTAATTTTTCATGTATCCTCCAAGACAGAGTCTTTCAACCTACTAGTAGTTACTTTAAAGCATGTCACAGGGTCCAGTGTTGTGGTGTAAGGGGTAAAGCTTCTGTGTGCAATGCTGGCATCCCATGTGAATACCAGTTCTTGTCCTGACTGCTCTACTTCCTATCCAGCTCCCTGGGATATGCCTGGGAATATGCCTGGAAAGATGGTCCAAGTGCTTGGGCCCATGCACCCACATGGGAGAACTAGATGAAGTTCCTGGCAACTGGCTTGGCTTCAGCATAGAGCAGCACTGGCTGTTGCAGCCATTTAGGGAGTGAACAAGTGGATGGAAGATTCTCTCTCTCTCTCTCTCTCTCTCTCTCTCTCTCTCTCTCTTTCCCTGCTCCCTTTTCTGTAACTCTGCCATTCAAATAAATTAATAAATCTTTAAAAGAAAAAACTATGTCACAAGGTTTATTACAATTTATCTAACTATAATTTTAAAAAGAATATCTAAGGGTTCATTTGTAGATGATAAAACATTCAATACTTCTGACTTCCTTCAGTTTATTCCTTATCTGCTACCTTAAACTTTTACAATTTATTCTAAATATATTCTCAAAAATAGCAACTCAAATTTTTTAAGTAAAAATTATTTTAATTTCAGAACTTAAAAGATTTCTAAATTCCAACATTCAAATGATATATAATTGCATCAGATAAAATAATGAGCAGTAAATTTTCTCCAATCAATGGTTCAGAGGTTTAGCCCACTTAATTTCTCTAAAGACAATTTCATTACACCACGTATTCATTTAAATCTTTGCTACCTATTCTTGAGTTATTTTCCAATTTCTCTCTCAAGTATTTGCAATGCATTAAGTAATTTTTAGACAGATAACTATGTGGCATACTTTTTAAGATGTTAAAGGACTGAAAATGTACTTTTGTTTATAGATAAAACTATCTGGAAATTAATTACGAGGATTATGACCTGTTTTTGAAGTGTACTAGACCTAACAATTTCTTGTGCTCTGTAATACATTTTTTGCAAAAGTTGAAGCTAACTTAATTTCCTAATTTACATATTTACTTTCTCCCTAAAAACTGGATTATTTCTTAGTTTATAGCTTTTTGTTTTGTTTTTGAGATGCAGAGAGACATAGAAAAATGGACACATAGAGGAAGCTTCCATCTACTGGTTCACTCCCCAAATGTGTGCAATGGCTGGGGATGGACTGGACCCACATTTGGGAGCTGGGAACACAATGAGGGTCTTCCACACAGGAGGCAGGACCCTAACTGAGCCATCTCTGCTGCCTCGCAGGGTATATACTGACAGGAAACTAAGTCCAGAATTGAATCATGGTGTTCCAGTGTAAGATGCAGGAGTCTTAACTGCTAGGCTAAACACCTGCTCCCTTGTCTTTACCACTGAGACATAAACATTAGGTCTTATTATTCCCCTTTTTAATTCTGTATCGGTAGGACTTCAATCTGAAATATTAGATGTTCTTCACTTGGACTCACATATTTTCTTTGTATTCTTAATCATAATAGCTGAAATAACTACATGGCCTCAGCAGCTCAGAGGGAGTATCATATATACTTTATGTTCTAAGTGAGATTAACCCCTCAAATGGCTGAATTGTTTCATTGTTCCAAGATATTTTTTGATGACTAATAAAGATCTTCTTGATGGTTATGATTTTTCTGATTTACGTTCTTTTTATCCTAGCTTTTTAAATTATTGCAAGCTAACTAAATTAAATTCAAGACAGTATATATACTGTTTTTACATGGGATTAACATTGAATATTGTACAAAGATTCAGACAAACTCTAAGGGATCACTCAACATCACCCACAGGGAATAAATATTTGATAGCTATCCCGATGCCTAAGCCTGAATACTCAGTCTCATTTTGCTCACAGAGAAAGGAAATGTCCTGTTCTCAACTTCCCAGGATTTGTTTCTTTAACCTTATCTCTAAAGCAAAGTCGTCTACCCTGTATTAGTAAATGAACATATTTGGTAAATTTATAAATCCCCAAAACAGATGCCACTGAAAATGGAACAACAAAGAATTTTTAACACTGAACACTTAATATTTAGAATGAAGGTTACAGCACATACTTTTGTTAGAATGCATATAATCTACAAATAATGCAATAGTGAAAGTATGAGAGCCAAAAATAAAGTCAAACTTGAATTCTGGATCACAGTCTTATGAAAAGGATGTATTTCCCAGTTTGAAAAGTCTCCATTTTATATATTACACTATCATACTTACAAGCTGATGTTCTAATAGTTGGATTTTTTCATCTTTTTTCTTTCTTTCTTCTTTAAGTTGTTTAATTTCATTTAATTAATCTTCATTCTGAAATATTAAAAAAATTTAAGATAAGGCATTTAAAATACCTTATTAAAGAGCACTACATCAATGACAAAGACTAGAAAATGATCTATTTGTTCATTTAAGGGGAAAAATCTTTTATTAAAAAGAATGTCATAGGAGGCCGGTGTTGTGGTATAGTGTTTTAAGCCACTCCCTGCAATGCCAGCATCCCACATGGGTGCTGGTTCAAGTTCCGCTGCTTCACTTCCAATCCAGCTCCCCGATGATGTGCCCAGGAAAACAGCAGAGGAAGGACCAAGTGCTTGGGCCCTTGCACCATACAGAAGACCTGGATGGAGTTCCAGGCTTCTGAGTTCAGTCTGGCCCAGTTCCAGCCATTGCAGCCATCTGGAGAGTGAGCCATCTGATGAAGTTCTCTATCTCTGTCTCTCCCTCTCTCTCTCTCTGTAACTCTGCCTTTCAAATAAATAAATCTAAAGAAAGAATAAAACAAAATCATCATTTAATGGTCTAATGGAGTCTGACATGTAAACGATGAACAGCAACAGAAGTAAAGGCTAACATTCACTCAGTAATTATTGGGTGTTAGAAACTATGCACTTGAAAGTATTTAGGCACTTGATCTTAACTGTGTCACTTGAGGTATACACCATTATCTCCTTTTACACATGAGGAAACTGGGATCCTGGTCATAGAATCAATCTGTCACATACAGAACTGTAACTTTAGCTAACATTTCAAAGGATGCCTCTCAGAGAAAATGAAGGGCACAACAGACAGAGGAAATAGTATAATTAAAGACACAGTAGAATTTCATGGCTGGTTCAGCAATCAGCAAAGAGATAAATATGCCTGAAGAGTAATAAACGTGATGAGTTGACCATGAACCACTTTCCTGAACAGCGCTGCCTGAGTCAAAGAGAAAAAAATAGTCTGTCAAGTTCATCAACGAGAAATGCCCAATACTGTGAAATGGAAACCTATGTCAAGCTAAACAGGAATCTGGTCACCTTTACAAGTGTGAAGTATCATTACCCTACAGGCAGCCCATTTTGAGTACTTCTCTTCACTTATCCAGAACTTCTCTTCACTTATTCAGAATAGGAAGTAGTTTAAGCAAGGGATTAGATTTTTTATATATAGATGATACACCACATCTTTCCAGGCAGAGAAACATGCAAGCAAATAATGGCAATGGTGTAGTTACTAAGCAAAGTTATGTCATCTTCTCCAGACACACTGGGAGTAACCTAAAAAAATGCAGTCTCTAAACAAAAGTTCAGAAACAGACATCCTACAAAGGTGTTAACATGTCAGAAAATATTTTAAAATGTTATGGACAGTATAATTGGGAAAGACAGTTTTTATATCACTAAAAAAAAGACCTGAAAGAGTTTAAGAATTCTAAAAATTCATAAATTAGACAAAAGATGGATTACAGATCACAAAAGACCCATTTTCAAGGATTTATCTAGAATATGTTTAAATTCTGTAGCAACAACTTACTAAGAAATCATAAATGTATTTGTTATATAAAATTTTCATCATCTATACAATTAATTTTCTGATTAAGTTAAGCCTTGTAAAACCTATGCAAACATGACAAAAGCTTTATATCGCAATTCTACCAGAAGCTAGCTCAAACACCTAAGGTCACTGTCAAGATTCCAACAAATAGTTCTCACAAACACACATGTAATCTGAAAAATGCTCTATTTGACTTGTTTTAGAAAAACAAAATACTGGAAGCACTTATTTTACAGATATTAAATTGGAGGGGGGTTATCATTGTGATTAAGAAGATTAGAGAAAAAATGTAGCAACTCAATAGACAAAGCAACCAACCTTTCTAGACAAACATATGCCTATATGTATAAAATCACAAAAATATCTGCAATTCTGATTCAGTTATTCCACTTCTAGGAATCTATGCTGAAGAAATGATTCCAAGTGTGAAAAGATCAACAAGATACTACCTGAAAGTTTACAAGTATACAACTGTCCCATAAGGGAACAAGTGAAACCCAATAGAGCAAACTGATGGAACACTACACAGCCAACATTTCTATAGTTGTGGATTCTACCCACGTTACAGAAATGGACTCAAAATATGAGATCAAAATACAATGTGGTAAGAATATTAATAGACAAAATTTACGCAGCACTTACTACATGCAGGCACTGCTGTAAGACTATACATAAAGATGGGCAGGGGAGGACATGTCAGGAAATGCGTGACTCCAGTGGGGTCTTAAAGGAATGAGCAGAAGGTTCTGAGGACGCAGCAGGAAGGGATTCTGAATGCTCTACAAAAATACAGAGGGGAAGACAAGCAGAGCACATCTGGGGAAATAGAAGCAGTGATGTGGTCACACAAAGGCTGGTGACGAGTGAGGCACAAGTAGGTTTGTGAACCAGGCAAGGGCCACACAGCACAGAGGGCTATAACGATGGGGCACAGACTTAGCCAGGGAGTGGTAGATTTACATTTCAGACAGCACTGACAGCATTTGGAGAACAAATTTGACAACAAAAGCAACAAAACTGGGCTAGGAACGTGTCATCAAAATACTCTATTATTCCAGATGACAGAAGGAATCTAACCGAAAAGAGTGATAACAGAGATGGAAGTGGGGAAATCAAAGTGTGGAGATTTTGACAATTCACGGCATGAGAGAGAAAGGCACAGAGGAGCAGTCAAGACACTCCTATTTACTACTTTAGGGACACGGTGAAAAACTGTGCCACCAAAAGAAATGGCGAGTACAGGAGGACACAGATGTTCAAAGAGGAATATGTGTGAGTTTTAAATACATTGTTGGAGGTAGCTGCAGGTAGTGTAGGAATATGTCTAGTGGGCAGATGGATCACCAAGTAAGAAAGAAAGAAAATTTATATGTTATCAGGTATATATGTCACATGTGAAATCATGACAGTAAAAATTACAGAGGAATGAAATAAAGTTATAAACTTAATATTCAAAGGCAGGAGAAATCTACATAAGAAACACAGGGAAAACATGAGCCTAATAAAGTTAATCTAATTTTTAGTATTTTCTAGTATCTTTCAACATTGTGATAAATGAGATACGCAGTGAAACTTAATTGCCACTTTAATTTTTCTTGGAAGCTGTATGTAAAAATTGTAAAAAGTGATGATTTTTGGAAAAGGATTCTGAATCAATACTAATTATCCAACGGACAAATTCAAATTAAACAACACAGGGATTTTAACTTAACAAAGTAGCAAAAGTTAAGGGCAAGTCTCAAGAAAGCAAATTTCAGGGCTGGTGCTGTAGTACATCAGGTTAACAGCACTGCCTGTAGTACTGGCATCCCCCTATGGGTGCAGGTTCAAGTCCTGGCTGCTGTACTTCTGATCCAGCTCCCTAATACACCTGGGAAGGCAGTAAAAACAGTGCAAGTACTTGGGCCATTCCCACTCACATGGGAGACCTGGATGAAGCTCCTAGTCCAGTCCTGGCTGAAGAGGCCATTTGGGGAGTGAACCAGGAGATGGAAGTCTTGCTCTCCCCCTCTCTAACTCTGCCTTTTAAATAAATAAATACATCTTTTAAAAAATGCAAATCCCTAAGTTTTTATATGTACACTTGAAATACTCCAGAAAGTAAATCTCTAAATTTTCAACATCCTTATTATTAAACACTTTCATTGTTATAGCTTTATTATTTTAATATTCAAAACATTTGAAATATTTAGCCTGATTACCTTACATATTTGATCACCATCTTCTGGTTCTGGACTGGATGGCAATTATAGTTGAATGTCATGTAATGAACCACTTCCATCATGCTGTCAGAAAGAAGGGAGAAAAACACCCCATTAGTACCCTAACTACAGACACTCGGTTCAACCTGAATTTTCCCAAACTACATGTTAGCATGGCAAAGAACAAATAGGATATAAGAAGTTATTACTCTCCTTTTCATCTCTGTGCTGGCAGAAGGAAATGTGGAAGAAGGAAAAGGAAGTTGGGAGAAGATGAACCTGTGAGAATAAGTAACAGACACAGTGTAAATGAATGAGGGAGACACTCACTGAATGACTGGGAAAAGGAATATGGAAAATTTCAAAGAATTTTAAGACTTTCACAGCTAAGAAAAATATAAATTAAAAAACTGAATCTGCTTTGGTTTAGGTGTTTTGAGTGTAACAGAGTCTGAAACAGTCATATTAAATAATACACCAGGCTGGGCCACAAAATCCCTTGACTAAAATACTAGATACGTGAGAACACCCTTTTCAGGATCTGTTTATGTCAAGTCTGAGAACAGACATGGTGCTAGAAATCAGAAGAGCGGCTGATGCAGGGAGAGGGGGAACATGAGGGAACTTACCAGGAAGCTGGAAATGTTCCGTCTGCACTGACTGGTGAGCACGTAAACCACATGCATGGACATTTCAGGGTCTACATTTAAGACTGGTACATCTGGGGCATGCGCTCAGCCTAGCAGTTATGCTATTAGTTAAAATGCCTGCATCCCATATTTGAGTACCTGAGTTTGATAACCAAACTTCTGGGGCAGGCAACAGTAATGTCTCAACTGATTAGTTCCTGCCACCCCCATGAGAGACAGGGACTGAATTACCAACTCTGAGCTTTGGCCCCAGCTTAGGCCATTGTGGACAGTTGGGGAACAACACAGACAAAAACTCTCTCACTTTCTCTCTCTCCCCCTCTCTTTTCCTCTCTGCCTCTCAAATGAATGCAAAAGACTGGTACACCTGGCACTGGACAGCAGGAACTCCACAGAATCACAGACAATGCAAACATGCACTGCTTTGCATTAGTTTTAGGAAGTATATAACAGAACAGGAAAAATGAAAAATCAGTCTTAGAGGTGGAAGAAAAGAAAAAAGGGGCCCAACACAACAGAAGATAACAGGAAAACGGTCAACCACCAGGACTCAGGAAAGTGATTCCATGAACCTGTATGGCGATTCCAGGGGCCACACCTGAGCAGCACTTACTTGCTGCTAAATAGCACTGCAAAGACTGAAAAATAAATGATGACCAATGACCAGGTCGGAAACCAGCCTCTGGCAGGAACACACTCGAAACAGATCTGAACAGCACGGCACAGCAAGGCTTTGGAAGCAGAAGTGCCACTGAAACCACAATCCAAAGGCAGCTGGTTAAACCTAGCGGTCTGAAACTCAGTATTCTCCACAGGTTTTAAACAAGATCTAGAATCTCATAACACTGTTCAAGTGTTTAAGACACGATTCAAACTTACTCAACACCTAGGGAGAAACCTCAATTCACGCACAGCAGACACCAATGGAAAAATGACACAGAAGTTAGTTCATAGGAAAAGATTTTAAGAGAATGCACCAAAAAAATCTCCAAAAAGTAAGGGCAAACACCTGAGGTGGAGGGGAGAGTCTTATCAAGGAAAAGCACATTTAAAGAAAAATGAAGGCTGGCATCACAGCTCAATAGGCTAATCCTCCACCTTGCGGCGCCGGCACACTGGGTTCTAGTCCCGGTCGGGGCACCGGATTCTGTCCCGGTTGCCCCTCTTCCAGGCCAGCTCTCTGCTGTGGCCCGGGAGTGCAGTGGAGGATGGCCCAAGTGCTTGGGCCCTGCACCCCATGGGAGACCAGGAGAAGCACCTGGCTCCTGCCTTCAGATCAGCGCAGCGTGCCAGCCACGGCACCCATTGGAGGATGAACCAATGGCAAAGGAAGACCTTTCTCTCTGTCTCTCTCTCTCACTGTCCACTCCGCCTGTAAAAAAAAAAAAAAAAAAAAAAAAAAGGCAGAATGAAATGGAAATTTTAGAACTGGAAAGATTCAATAACCACAATTTTTAAAAACATGAGATCAATCTAAATACCAATATTTGAGATAATAGGTTTAACTTGGCCACAGATCAACAGAAACCAATCAATCTGAATGATAAACAGAAAAAAGATTGATGAAAAGAAAAGAAATTAACATAGTCCATTCAAGGATCTGTGGGACAATTAATAGATTTTACTTTTTTGTCATTAAAGTCACAGAAGGAAGGGTGTAGGGCAGAAAAGATATTTGAATAAATAAAACTGAACTTATCCCAAATTTGGTAAAAGACATGAACCTACAGATTTAAGAAACTCGATTTAAAAGAACAGAAAAAGGGCAGGCTGGGGCTGGCATTTGGCACAGCAATTAAGACACTGCTCAGAACACCTGCATCCCATAGATGAGTACCTGGGTTCAAGTCCCAGCTTGGCTTCTAATTCCAAGTTGCTGCAAATGCCCACTCTGAGAGGCAGCAGGTGTTGGCTCAAGTACTTGGACCCCTGGCACCCACATGGGAGACCTGGACTGAGTTCCTGACTCCTGGCTCTCTGGTTCTGGCCTGACCCAGTACCAGCGGTTGCAGTCACTTGGGAAATCAAACAGTAGATGGATGATCTCTGTCTCTGTCTCTGCCTGTCCAATAAAAATATATGTCCATATCCATATCAGAGCAAGTAAGTTTTTGTTCTGGCTCCACCCTCAATTTCAGGTTTTCACTCTTGCACAACCTAAAAGGCAGCAGGTGATTGGTTGAAGTGGTTGGGTCTTGCCCCCAACATGGGAGAACTGAGCATGAACTAGTAGATGGGAGAACTCTGTATGTCTGTCTGTCTCTCTTTCTGTCTCTGCTTTTCAAATAAACTTTTAAAAAAAGAAAATAAATGTGCTCTCCAAATATAAGGCAAGTTTAACTAAAAATCAGTAACAGAAGGATAATCTCTAACCATTTGAAAAGTAAACAGCTCTAAATTATCCATGGATAAATGTCAAAGTGAGTAAGAAAATATTTTGAACTGCAGGAAAATGAAGACATCATGTTTGTAAATTTGTGGGATGCAACAGTGCTTAGAGGCAAAATTGTGGTACAGATGGCTTCCATTGAAACAAAAGTCAAATCAGTAACTGGTGCAAAGTAAAGCTAGAAAAAACAGAAAGAAAACAATGCAGTGGAAATTAATTAAAAATAGAGAAATCAATGAAACTAATAAATATTCCTGTGAAAAACTGCCAAAAGGCAAAAAAAGATGGAAGGTTTATTTTTCTTAGAATTGCTAGAATTATACCACCTAATTGGATGCAAAAAGATACAGAATGTTTCAACAACTTCCAGTGTAAAAATAGTTTTCAGTAGTTTCAGTGTCAAAAAGAAAAAAAAGATGGAAAGTACAAATCAAGACATATACCAGGAATGAAAGCAGGAATATTACTACTGACATTTAAGATGGTAAGAGTAAATAAGGTAGTAATACTGTTAATGGCTCCATGTATACAAATTTGACAACTTATATAAAATGGAGAAATTCCTTAATAACCATAAACTCTCCAAACTCTTCAAAAATGAAGTAGATGACCTAAGCAAACCTATTGACTACTAATGAAAATGAATCCATAATTTAAAACTTCCCATGAAACAAATACCTAAGGCTTTAGATATTTTATCAGCAAGTTCTTCCAACATTTAAAGGATCAACATGTATCAGTTTGATACATTCTCTTAAAGAAAATAAAAATCAACCCAATTAAATTAGAAATTAATTAAATCAAATAAGACTAGCATTATCCTGATCTTAACAAATATAGAAAAGACCACAGCTTAACATCCCTCACAAAGATACAAAAGTCCTTAATAAATGTATCTGAGACTCAATTTCATCAATATATAAAAATGAAACATCCTCAACAAATGAGGTTGATCCTAGAAAAGCAAGGCTCGTTCAGTGGTCAAAAAGCAATATAATTTACCACATCAAGAAATAAAACATAATTATCTCAATAGATACTGATGAAGTTCCTAACAAAATTCAACATCTAGTCATGATATAAATATGATTGATAATAAACAGATAATGGCTCAAGTACTCGGGTTCCTGCCTCCCATATGAGAGACTCAGCTTGAGTTTACTTAGCTTGAGTTTCACGCTCCTGGCTTCAGTCTGACCCACTCCTACTGTTGTGAGCACTTGAGGAGTAAACTAGGAGATGGAAGATGGGTACCTGTCTCTCTCTCTCTCTCCAATAAAGTGAAATTAAACTTAAAATAACAAAGCTAAAAAAAAACTACTCTAGCATCATATTTAATGGTAAAAGACAATATTCTACCTCTAAGACTAGGAACAAGATACTCCTATTCAGTAGTTACTGGAGTTTCTAGTCACCATAACAGCAAGGCAAGTAAAAATAAAAGACAAATAGGAAAAAACAAAGAAAACTGTTTTCACTCAGATGCTAAAATTTTTGGTGCAGATAATCCCAAAGTATAAAACTACTAGAATCAATACAGATATCCATCAACTGATGACTGGATAAAGAAAATGTGATATGTGTGTGTGTGTGTGTGTGTGTGTGTACACTATGAAATGGTGCTCAGCCATAAAAAAGAATGAGATCCTGCCTTTCACAACAGAATGGATGCAACTAGAAACCATCATGCTTAGTGAACTAAGCCAGTCCGAAAAAGACAAATATCATGTTTTCTCTGATATGTGGTTGTTAATATAGAATATCAAAAATTTATAGGAATGAAACAAACATCTTGTGATATGATTGTTGCTTTTAGCCCTTGTTTATACTATTGTAGAACTCTGGTCTTCCTATTTTTTACTTGTTGAATATTATGGTTAGTGTGAATTAAGCCTATGACTACAGAGTGGATTGAAAGCATGCATCTGCAAAGATTAAAGAAAAAAATAAAGGAAGGAGGGGACTGATGGAGGGAAAAGTGGAGGGAGGGAAGTATGTTTACCTTCTTAGAACTGTACCTATGTAATACATAACATCTATTCTCTTTATATTAACAAAAAGAATTTTAAACTACTAGAATACATGAGGTTAAGAAAGTCAAAGGATATGAGAGCAATATACAAAAATCAACTACTGGTGGTGAGCATTGTGGTGTAGCAGGTAAAGCCTCCACCTGCTATGCTGGTGTCCCACATGGGTGGTGGTTTGAGTCCTGGCTGCTCCACTTCCAATATGGCTCCCTGCTAATGTGCCTGGGAAAGCAGCGGAAGATGGTCTAAGTCCTTGGGCCCCTGTACCCACATGGGAGACCAGGAAGAAGCTCCCAACTCCTGGCTTCAGACTGGCCTAGCTCCAGCTGTTGTGGCCATTTGGGGAGTGAACTGGTGGAAGCTCTCTACCTTCCCCATTTCCCTCCATCTCTCTGTAAACTCTGCCTTTCAAATAAACAAATGAATTTTAAAAATCAACTTTTTTTTTCTCATTAAACTTTGTTTTAATGGGTCTCAAAATTCTGTGACAGATTTTTGGTCAAGTTGTTTCCATTAAAAAGTACTGATTTTAAAAACTAATAACTTAAAACTGCCACGCACAAAAAAAATGGTCCACAAAACATTCTCCTTTCCTTCTGAAGGTTTTACGATGCATTGTTATCATTAACCAGTCTTTTACTATTAAACTTAAATGGCCAATTGAGACAAACAGTTCTGAGACCGTTCTTCCACCACTGATTAAGACTGGGGTGGCAGGTATTAGGGGTAATATTCATTTAGCCTTCTGAGCTTTCTGGGCAGACTTGGTGACCTTGCCAGCTCCAGCAGCCTTCTTGTCCACTGCTTTGATCACACCCACAGCAACCGTCTGTCTCATATCATGGACAGCGAAACGACCCAGAGGAGGATAGTCAGAGAAGCTCTCAACACACATGGGCTTGCCGGGAACCATATCAACAATGGCAGCATCACCAGATTTCAAGAATTTAGGGCCATCTTCCAACTTCTTTCCAGAACGACGATCAATCTTTTCCTTCAGCTCAGCAAATCAACTATTTTTGTGACAAGGAACTACTGGAAATTAATTTTTAAAAGCTGCCATTTTTAATAATCCAAAGTACAAACAATATATATATGTATATATATTTATACATACACATGCATATATATGAAAGAAATCAGAAGGAATTAAATGGAGAGCTATCCTCTTCTTCACAACTGTGAATCTCAATAACAATGGATTCAAAGGCTCACTATTGTTGGAGACAACTCCTAAATTCCACTACAGATTCCAACAGCATTTTCTTTTTGTAGAAACAAAAAATTACTTCTAAAATTTAATATATTTTTATTTTTAACTGACATGTAGTAATCATACATATTTTTGGGGTACAATGTGACATTGCTATGAGTGCATAAATGTGTATAATATGATCAGAGTAATTGGCATACCTATTACCTCATTTCTTTGTGTAAGTCCCAGCTCAAATAGGGGAAAAACTATTTCTATCAAAGCACAAGAGTTTTAAGGATTGTGAATATAATCATTAACTGAATTGATTAATAAAACCACCCTCCCAAATAACTTTGACATTGAGCACTGACTGTGCTGTCTATTAAACCTGGACTAAGATAAAAGTGTCCAATCACATCAAAATTACTGAACAGTTTGAGAAATGCTTCTTTAAGCATTAGGGTGAAAAAAAAATCATGAAATGGGAAAGCAAAGATTCTCTTTTTAAAGATTACTGAAGAAATAACTTCATGCATGCAATTTTTATGCTTCACATGACACGAAGGAGCCAACATTTATCCAGTGCCAGGCACTGTGTAAACATTTTGCATAAATATTTTTAATAAATGCACAGAAGCAAAAATCACATGAAAAATTTCACACCAACTGAAAAAAAGTTATGTTTTCTGATTTTCCAAGTATTCTAGGCATCTTTACTGAGTAAAGCATCTTAGCAATTTCTAGGACTTTTACTCTTTGAATTCTAAACGCAATT